TTGAGTCTTAAGGTATAAAATGAGAGGAGCTAAGAACGCAGTAGGAACAAAGTCTACATACCCAGCTCATGAGGCCCTCTAATGTCCTAGTAATGGCAGCATTAAGTTGGGCCACAGCAACTTTCCAGGTACTCCAACTGGAACATGACTCATACCGTCCTCTTGTATTGCTCTCTATCCTAGCTTTAGAATCAATAAAGAAATTTTCCGTATTCACTTTTGGCCATTCTATTTAAATAGGTCTACAGCTTATAATCTTGCGTCGTATTATTTGTTTGATGGGGAATCAGTAATGTAATGTCCTTTGAATTGTTGGGTTAGAGAATTTAAATCAGAATCCTCCGCTTTGACAGCATTTGGCGTTAATATCTTCTCGTGAGTAGGTTTTTGAAACTACCAATAAATCAGATATATGAATTGTATTTATTCTATTTCGTTTAAGGTGATGAAAGACTGGTAGGTGGTTTTTCCCAAAATGATGTGAATAAGACTGACTTTTTCATTTGAATTTCACATAGCAATGCTTTTCCAAAAGGTGTTCTCGTCCAGGGTAGACTGCAGTTTCGACCACACATAAGTCTTATCAACACCCTAAGATGAAGGCGAACTATGACAGTACAGATTATAAGCTCGATACGCTAACCACTACGCCGCATTGCCACAAGTGCTCTTTGATTACAGGGGGGAAGTGAATTTCAAAAAAGGTCAGGCATTTTCCATATCACATTCTGTGCTGGGATCGTCGATGAAGCAAATCTATATTTGCTATAGCAATCGACTACATTTATTTTTTCGTGAGTAGGTTTTCCTGGATTTTAATTACTTCTAATCTCGTTAGATTAATATTATACCGAACTAAGGACTAGGGCTTGCTTCACTCGATTGGCGTCGCTTTTAGTTTCTTCAACTGTGAAATCAAGAAAAAATTTCTTTTTTCGGCCCCTATATCAATAAGCTCACGAAAAATCTGCTGTGCTATTTTAGGATTGCGTCATTCTATATCCCTGACAATAT